ACCCCAGAAGGTTCCCCCTTTTCCGTGGTAGCCGGTCCCCGCCCTTCTTTCCCATTTTCTTCCATAGCTTTGTTATACCTGCTTGGCTTTGTGCATATGGAATCATGCAGTAGGTACTCTTTGTGTCTGCTTTCTTTTGTTCATCATAAATTTTTTGAGATCCACCCATACTGTCCTGCCTGTCAGTGGTTCACTCCTTTATAGCTGGATAGTATCCCATTGTATGAATACACCACCATTTGTTCATCCTTATTCCTATTGACAAACGCCTGTTTTCTATGAATAAAGCTGCTATGAACATACAAGTCTGTTTTTTCCTTTGTACACTCTTGTGTTTTTCTTTCTCTTGAGTAAACATTCAAGAATAGAATGGCTGGGTCATGGAGTAGGCAGTTGTTTATTTTATAAGTAATTGCCAGGCTTTTTACAAAGCAATTGTACCCATTTATACTCCCATAAAGAAGCAAGAGTCTTATTCCTTCACGTTCCTGCCAGCCTTCAGGCCGGGTATAGAGTGGTAGAGTGTTGGGCTTTTAATGTGCATTTCTCTGGTGGCTCATAATGTTAATCTCTTTTTTTGTGTGCTTATTGGCCTTCCATAAATGTTCTTTTGTGAAATATCTAGTCAAGTCATTTATACATTTTTATTGTTTGCCTTTATTTTGAACAAGTTCTTCATGTATCCTAGATACCAGTATTTGTATGATACAAGTTTTGTAAATGTATTTCCTACTGTGGCTTGTCTATTTTATCATGCCTTTTGGTGAGTAGGAGTTTTTAATTTTGGTGAAGTCTAATTTATCCATGTTTTTTCTTTTTGTAATTTTTGACAACTGCACCCTGGGAAACCTTTTTACTCAGTGTTTCCTTTTGTGATTTTTGCTGACTCTGTTATGAGAAACCTTTGCTATTCCCTAGTCTTGAAGATACTCTTATGTCTAGTGTGTAAAGCATTATAGTTTCAGCATTTACATGTAGGCCATCTTGAACTGATTTCTGTTTTACTAGAATTTTAAACTGTGAAACAAAAAACTCAGAGCAATTCTGTTTTGATTTGAGGGTTTTAAAATATAACTTGGCAGTCGGAGTTTGGTTTAATATAAGCCAGTGTGGTTGAGTGACTCGCTGGACAGAGGCTTGTGCAACAGGATGAGGATGGCAGTGGGGATCTGACCGAGGTGAGGGACAGGCCTGACCTCACTCCCTGCAGCCGGCCCGCGTGCCTTTCGGGGAGGGAGGCAGGAGAGCCCTTCCGAAGATGTTTTAGTTTAATACTTAAATTTGAAGTGTAACCGTGAATGTGGCTATAGTTATTTCACATTTGTCTTGAAATGCTCTTCAAAATGGTGTAAGAGAATGAAGGGTGATAATCGAGAGTGAGCTCCACAATGAGTCGATCAGCAGCCCTGATGGGTTCATAGAAAGCTGAGCCATGGGCACTAGATGATTGCTTTATGAGGTAGACCAAGGTCCAGGGGAAAGTTCTCTGATTACAGACTCCTCAGTGATTTTAACTGCATTCGTTAGCACTATAAAAAGGCATTAATTTTACAACGCAGAAATTTGAAGTACTTCAAAACAAAAATATATTAAGAATATGTGCCTCTTTTTTAAAATTAAAACTTGGCCTGTCCTTAAAAAAATCCACAGTGCTATAGTGGGTGTGAATTCATTTATTCTCATGACACCAGGACAGGAGTTAGAATGTTTCACTGTGGGCCTCAAAATGTGGCCTCAAAATATTGAAAGTAGCCATTTTCTTAGTAACTGACTGGGTAGAACTTAATGAATTCCAAAGTACAGGCCCAAGAATGTTTAGAACATGCAGTTTGAGCTTGTATCCATATGACATATTCACAGCTATTTGTTTAAGACAAAGAAAACATTGTTTTCCAAAGGCTTTCTTTTGGTTTGTGATTCTAGGATGCAGCCTGTATTGAGCTAGATTTGTCATCCACTTTTGATCTCTAGTTAAAAAAAAAAATAGTTCTCTGCAGGCATGACTTCTTCGACTCTTAACTGCTTGTTTTGATATTGCTGGTAACATTTCACCCATTTCACAAAAGAAGGAGGGGGCAAAATCCAGGAGCCAGACATACCAGGTGGTCAGAGGGGAAAGTAACAGAAGCCAATACTCAGTTCAAAAGCACGCATCAATATTGTGCCCTCTGAATCCTTTGTTGGAAAAGTGTCTCAGTGCCCTGCCGTCCTCCCTCATGGCAGGAGCACAGAGGATCTACTGACAGGTGGTCACAGCTGGTGACCTTGGCTGCCACTGCTGCCTGCGCTGCTCCCCTAGAAGACGAACCCTTGTCACCTAGAAGCCACTTTGTGCCTGCAGTTACTTGGGTGGGATGTGTTCCTTCACTCTAGAAGGCTGTGAATTCCATCTGAAGAGAAACTCTCACACCAGGCCATCCTGTAGTCCTGGTGTGGGGCTGGCCACAGAGACACGCATGACAAATCTTTATTGATTTGAAATGAAAATGGCTTTATAGCCATGAAACTACACGATGCAGGAAGGGCGGGCCTGTCATAAAGTTTACGTCAATGGCAGGCAGTTAGCAGCCCAGCCCAGACTGTAGAAGGGTCCACACTCACTCCCACCCCAAACCCTGCCACCACCCTTTTTCCACCCTTTTTGCTTTTTTCCTACTGAGACCCACATGCGGGAAAGGATCAGCCCTGCTCTGCGGCTGCTGACCACCTGTTTGTATTTGGTCTTTGCTTCTTTGCCTTTGATTTTGACAGCTGTCTCTCCAGAAGTAGGCAGGAGGAGTCTGGAAAAAGAAATGGAATCGGTTTTGAAACTTCTTTTGCAGGCAACATTTACTATTTAGTAAAACAGAAAGAAGTTTCTGACTATCCCAAGAAAATAAGTTAAACCTTTACACAAGCAGTAATTAAGCTGAAAAGTGAAGATTTTAAAAATTATTTGGCATATAATTTCTTCTTGAATATAAGCATAGGTTAAGATTTTTAGTTTCCTAAAAACATAGGGATACTTCTGCCCTCAGAAAAGCTTTTTAGATGGCCAAGTGGAAGTTTGCCAAATGGCCATCCAGAATGCCCTTTGAGGGTTCAAGCCATGCTGTGACACCAGGGTTTGATGAGAATGCCAGCCCTGCGCCCTAAGATATCTATTTCCAAACCAGTTATTTTTGTGGTGATTTCTTTGCCCAAGCAGGGGGCCCCCTTCTAAGTTTAGCAGTATGTCAGAAACACTTTAAAGACTAACAGATGTTTGGGTTAATAAAAACCATGTTTACCCTCTTTTGCTGTATCGTGCATTCTTCCTGTGATTTCTTTATGGGTCCTTCGAATAAGGAGAAAACTGCAGTATTTGTCAGTTTCATTGTTTTAAATATTTCTTTGGTATCATTATTGAAGGCACGAAAGATTGAATTTGAGTATTTCCTGGTTCAGGAAGAAGGATGACTCTTTTCAGCCTGTTAGTTTATCAGCCTGTTATCTCAATGTAACCCCTCCTTGTATTTATTGCCTTACTTTCTCCAACTCTTCCTTTTCCTGCATTTCTCCTTCCACTCCCCCTACCTGGCCTGTCAGACACAGACATAAGTATAAACAGTGTTGGTACTGGAGTAGGGACATCAAACTCGGTGGAAGTGGGGAGCTGAATTCATAATGTTCAGAGCATTCCCAGTGGCTGTACTTCACTTACTAATAGGAGGAGTGTTGGGACATTTAAACATCTTTGAGAGACTACCACAAGGCATCAAAGGAAGGTTAAAACCCCACACTTCCCAGAGAAAATTTTATAACATAGTGTCTTAAATATTCTTTTTAGAATTTTTGGCAGTATGGACAATATCTGAATTTCCCCAGGAGTTTCTAAGTGTGACATGCTTTTTCGTAAATATAAAATATAGTGTCATATACAGTTAGGACAGGCCTACACAGAACAAAACTAAGGCTGGACTGTGAGAGTCATGCCTGAAATCTCGGCACTCTGGAAGGCTGCAGGTGTGAGCCTAGCCTGGGCATCTTAGTGACTTAGCAAGACCCTGTCTCAAAAAACTAAAAAGATGGGGCTGGAGCTCAGTGTGAAGGCCTAGATTCCATCCCTGAAACACAATCAGTAGTCAGTAATGGATCTGTGCAGTTTTATGCACATTTATGGAGCTCTCTGATATTAGAGACACTTAAACAATTAACTAAACCATACTAGCAGTTTAACACACTAAGGACAATACTAGAGGAGTGGATGGTTTGTATGCGACATAGACCAAGTGGTGCCCAAGCGAGAGGACAGGAAGAATGGTCATCAGGACAAAGGGAACAGCAAGACCAGATTTTCCAAGGAGAGGCACAGTGCCTTTCCCGGGGCAGAGTGGCTGGAGGACATGGCAAGCGATGTGGCTGGAAAGGTGGAGAAGCCTGGGTTTCGTGCTACCATCATGCGCCCTCCTCCCAGGAGGATTCTGAGCAGAGAAATGTGCCGGAAGTGAGCAGCTGGGAAGGGGCTGGCAAGGTCTACAGAAGAGAAGCGCCCAGAGGGTGTATCAGCTCCCCAGTTGAGTGCTGCAAGTCGGAAGTTCTTTCCGATTCTACCAGAATCTACCCTAGAGAGTTTTTCTGATTAAGGAATTTTGTTTGAAAACATAATACAAAAGCTTGTGTATAATTATTGTATATTTTGTGACCTGGCTATTTGTGAACTTGTTTTCTTTAGATGTGTTTGTGATTTTTCTTACAAACTTAGTCCTTAGAGTTATTCTGCCTGGTGCCCCTGATAAAAAGGGCTCTATAATGGCAAGCATATTCAGCATGACTTTTAAAGTTGCCCTCTTTTCCTTACTTGGAAAGTATGTTCTTGATTGTGAAAGGGCTAAGCAGGTTGTTTATTGCAGCACTGCAGTTGAACCTAGGGCCTTGCACATTCGGCGCCAAGCTCTACCACTGAGCTGCCCCCAGCCCACCAGGCTGAGTTTGGGACTCTCACATCCCTGAGCCTAACCCCTGCTCGCTTTCCTCTGCAGACATATCTTTTTCCTGCACATCAAGGAGTCCCTCCTCGCAGGCCACCTCCAGTGTTCCCCGGAGCAGGCAGTGGAACTCAGTGCCCTCCTGGCCCAGACCAAGTTTGGGGACTACAACCAGAACACTGCCAAATACAACTATGAGGAACTGTGTGCCAAGGAGCTCTCCAGCGCTGCCTTGAACAGGTGAGGCTGCGCGAGGCTGGTGAGTGTGTTCACGGAGCTCCAGAGGAAAGCGAGCCTCTGTCTCTAGGGCTAATCCATGCTGTCATGGCCGGGCCACTGCCCAGTTAACCAGTTAGTTCCAAAAGATTTATTAGCCTTTTGAGAACTATATAAACACAGAACATAGACCCTTCAAATAAATGCCCTTATGTGAAATGATATATAAAATGGGAATTTTTAAAATCTCTAATCTTGTAAAAATACACATCTCCTAGAGTAAAAAGTACACTAGTGTTGTCTTCATCCCAGCAAGAATGAAATCAAGAGGCCTAACATAGACATTTCAGTTATCTATTCCTATATAACAAGTCACCCCAAAACTTAGTGGCTTAAAATAACAAACCTCCTCTTGTGGCTGAGACTCTGCTGTGAATTGGCCATGGCTTTGTGGGTTACCACCTGGGACCTCCCAGGAGGCTGCTGTCGAGCTCCTAGACCTCAGTCTCATCTGAAGGCTCAGCTGAGGGAGGGACCCATGTGCAGGATGGCTCCTGGGTCTCTTGGCCACCTGCTTCCCTTCCCACATGAACCTTGGACGCATTCCATGATGTGATGGCCAGCTTCCCCCAGGGTGAGTGGTCCAACTCGGAGCAAATGCAGAAAGCCAAGAAGGAAGCTGAGGTCTCCTGAAACTTTATCTCAGAAGTGAGTCACATCCCATGACTTCTCCCAGATTCTGTTTGTCGAAGCAGGTCACTAATCCAGCCCACACTCAAGGGAAGGAACTTACACGGGACATGGATAGCCAGGCGGTGGGCTCACCAAGGGCCACATGAGGGTCCATCCACAGTACAGCAAATAAGGCCTGTACTTCCTTCACTTGCAGATGATGTAATCAGTCACTGACAGTGCTAGATTATAATTAATTTATTACATATATATAGATAAATGTATGCAGAGTTCCAGCATATGAATTTGTCTTATGTGTTTTTTTGAGATTTTTCATAATTCTTTCATCACCAGCCAGCATCCCCAAAAGTGTTCTCTTTTGAATATTTGATAATCCAGATCTTGAAGAGTATCTTAGAAGTATCTTACAGTAAGTTTACTAAATAAATGAGACATTAATAATATACAGCTTTATGGTTTTATGATTCATAAATGACAACATCACTGTACTGCACTAGTGAAAATGATGTAGATTAATCTTTCAAGCCTGTGAATTAATCTCTGTATAACTCTGTACACTCTTGGTGTCCTGCAGCATCATTGCAAAGCATAAGGAGTTGGAGGGGACCAGCCAGGCCTCAGCTGAGTACCAAGTTCTGCAGCTCGTGTCAGCAATGGAAAATTACGGCATCGAGTGGCATGCCGTGAGGGACAGCGAAGGCCAAAAGCTCCTCATTGGGGTTGGTCCTGAAGGAATCTCCATCTGTAGGGATGACTTTAGCCCAATTAATAGGTAAATCCAAGCTTGAGTAGTTTTAGCTGCAAGCATGTGGAAATATCTGCAGCTCTCACCATGAAAATAGAAAATGGAGAAGGGTTCACTAGACAGTTACCTCACAGGAATACCATGTTTCATTTTGGAATTCACATTAATTTTACTCAGGCCTTAACAGTCGTTTAATTATTTTTCAAGTGCTAACTTTTAAGTGTGTACCAATGTGGTAAATTTTTCAAACAAGTTGTTCACTGCCATAAAAATCTCCTTCTGACCTCTACACACTCATCTGCACACATATCCAAACTCTCTGCAGTGCTTCTCTCTGCACATATACAGCTGCTTTGCAGTCTCTGGAGGGCGGCCTGGGCTAAGGGTCTGGTTTACTGCTGAGTTTTACAAAGGGATGACGTGACAAAATGCTTCTTCTGGACTGGCTTATTTTTCTCTTCCTGTCTTTTAGGATAGCTTACCCTGTGGTGCAGATGGCCACCCAGTCAGGAAAGAACGTATACTTGACTGTCACCAAGGAGTCCGGGAACAGCATCGTACTCTTGTTTAAAATGATCAGCACCAGGGCGGCCAGCGGGCTCTACCGAGCAATCACAGAAACACACGCTTTCTACAGGCACGTACCTTAGCGTCACAGCTCTAGTTAAGACTTTGAGGAGATGAGCAGGTTTTTAGGGTTCCTTCTACCCTGATGTCGTGGGGCTGCTCTTGAACATCTTGTTCCTGCAGCGGTGATGGAGCGTCCCGGGGAGCACAACCCTGTTTCCCCACGGAAGATGCATATGTACGAGCGGCACACCCGCCCCTGCATCTCTTGCCTCAGCTTCTCACACCCGCCTACCCCACTCTCCCAAGATAACCCTGGGGAAGGGGCACTGGGTCTGCCCCACCAGCTTTGCTCTTTCCCTTCTGGGAGAGAACCTGCCCCGAATCCTCACTATCTCTCTCCACAGAGAGTTGGTATTAACACTATCAGTCCTTCTTTGCAGAGAGCACATTCAGGCTGAGTTGTGGTTGGACTCAAATATTTGGAAAATTAAAACCAAGAAGTGTAATTGGTAGGCAGTCTTACTTTTTTAAAAATTTTAAAGTAGACACACAGATTGTGCAACAGAATGAAAAATTCTTAGACATTTTTAACATAAAAGCTAAGACTTCGAAGACTTCCCTTTTTTTTTTCTTTCTTCCACAAGCTGCTTGGGCCTGCAGCTCATACCCTGGAGACGGACGTAGATGCTCTCTGTCCCCGTATTTACACTGGTCATTGGAGGTACTTTGGAGGCCTTTGAGAATGCTGAGCCCTTTAACACACGTAAAGCGGGAGGAACTTCCCCTGGGGCATGCGCACAGCCGAGTGAGATGTGTGCTGAGGACTCACTGAGGCAGGGTCTACAGGTCTGATTCACACTGCCCCACCCTTCGCTATTAAAGCAGGTGTGCAAACTTTCCATGCAGGTGTGACACGGTGACCAGCGCCGTCATGATGCAATATAGTCGTGACTTAAAGGGCCACTTGGCTTCTCTCTTTCTGAATGAAAACATCAACCTCGGCAAGAAGTATGTCTTCGATATTAAAAGAACATCAAAGGAGGCGTATGACCACGCCAGGAGGGCTCTGTATAATGCTGGTGTGCTGGACCTTGTCTCAAGGAGTGGCCAGAGCCCCCCCGGCTCCCCACTCAAGTCCTCTGGGAGCAGCATGAACTGCAGAAGCTGCGAGGGCCTCAGCTGCCAGCAGACCCGGGCACTGCAGGAGAAGCTGCGCAAGCTGAAGGAAGCCATGCTGTGCATGGTGTGCTGTGAGGAGGAGATCGACTCCACCTTCTGCCCTTGTGGCCATACTGTGTGCTGCGAGAGCTGCGCAGCCCAGCTGCAGGTGAGGGGCCGCCTGGCCTGCCAGGGCCTGGCTGGCTAATGCACAGGAGTGCCCATCTCTCCCTGGGGAGGCTTTGGGTTTGGTGACCCTTTGCAAACATTCTTGGATGCACGTACTGTGTTCCCAGCATGATTACTCTGAATCATAGATATGTTTCCAAGTTCTGGAAACAAGGTCCAGATTCATTCACAAAGTAATCCATCTACCATAGTTAGTAGCTAACCCAGGCTAGAACCCAGGCCTGCTTCTGCCATTTCGCGTTGCCTCCATTCCTGACGTTTAGGGGGAAGGTCTTTGGTGTTTGTGTGAGAACTTGGGAAAGAATGCTTCGATTTTGGGGTTATCATTAACTCAGTTGCCATGATGGGTTGTTTACTTTGATTATTTATGACTAATTTCTTTTTATTGCTATAAATGTCTCTAATGGCTTCTTAGATTGGTTGCTACTCATTACAGGTAAAATTAATTTTAATAGAGAAAATTAAAGAGAACAGGTTTTTTTCACATTTTCTCTTCCAGTAATTCTTTTCATTTGGTTCATTTCTCAGAAGCATCTGCTAATTGCTATGGTTTATGTAAAACTAAAGCTAACCCTAAATGTCACCTCGTCCTTCAGACACTGCCAATTTTACATCTGCTCTTCGGCCAGAGAATGCACACACAGGACACCCGTGCCCCTTGGAGAGGAGGTCATGCCGCCCCAAGGAGTGGTTTCCCTGGGAACAGGCTTGGACTTGCCTCTTGGGGCCACATATTCTGACCTTGTGCTCAGTCTTCCATCGTGGCTAATGAAGGGCATGTGCTGCTGAGAAGCCACCAGGAAACCAGGGCAGTTGCCTGCAAGAGTCAGCAGAAACATACTTAGGCCACGTGGGCGTCTGCCTTCAGCCACCTGAGCCAAGGCCACAGTCTGTGGAAGGGTCTCCTTCAAGGTGGCCTGAGGTGTCATAATCTACTCTTGAGGGGTCATGGCCTACACAGAAAGAGCTCTTCAATAATCACTTTACTCACTGTGCCTTGTTGAGAATTGAATGGAAAGCCTACTTAATTTCCTTCAGTGTATGCATTTTCATACATTTTTTCTAAACATTCAAACCTGTTAGAGAGGAAAGCCCTCTGCCAATCGAAAGCTTCGAAGTCATTGTGATCACAGCTTATTTAGAAAACTCAGTGTGGTAGGTACCAAGGGCCTGCAGAGCTGTCCTAACCAGCACTGTTGGCTTCTCTCTTGCAGTCGTGCCCAGTCTGCAGGTCTCGCGTGGAACACGTCCAGCACGTCTATCTGCCAACCCACACCAGCCTTCTCAATCTGACTGTCATCTAATGTGTTTTGCATCTGTCAGACGCGCCACATTTCCATGAACTGCACTATTGTAAACTATAAGAATGATAGTTTCGTGGAGAAAATAATTTCACTCCCAACACCCACCTGCCATGCAACATTTAAAACACAAAGGAAAAAGAAGACAAGAATACAGCTACTCCTCACTGCAGAAACACATCCACGCGTAGAACTAACAGGCCCACTGAGGGGACCGAGGAAGAGCTCTGGGGACACACATTCCTTGGACTTTCTTTTTTTTATGATTAAATAAAGGAACAGGTAATCTTTGTCAGTTAAGTGGCAACATAGCCAAAAAGTGGGTACCTTTTAGGAAATGATGTTGTAAGTCTCCATAATGTATCCCGAGGTAAGTTTCCTACCTGCAGCAGATTTTCTAAGTAGTTTTAGGCATTTACTTGGTTCTTTTTGTACGGTCATGGAGCACCGAACATTTTTAAAAGGAAAATTTTTCTTAAACACTTATCGTTATAATGTCATTTCTGTTTTTGTAACCTGTTGAAGAATGATTGGAACACAAACATTTAAACACCAATCCTGTGGTGGTAGCATTCTCCTGTAATCACAGCATTTGGGAGGCTGAGGCAGAAGGATGGAGAGTTCAGGCCAAATTGGGCAATTTAGCAAGATCTTATGTCCAAAAACCTGACTTTTAAAAGGTTGGCCATGATGTTGTCAGATTTAAACCAGTCTGGCCAGGAGAAAGCAAGTGATCTAGCAGAGAGGCTTCCCATTCCTTTGCCCTCTCCTTGTGCCCCATGCTTTTTGGTTATGAAAAAAGTGATTAAAAGTAGCAGCAGAGGGCTGGGGATTTAGCTCAGTGGTTTCGGCGCCCACTGCGCAAGTGCAAGGACCCAAGTTCAATCCCCAGTACCAAAAAAATAAAAATCAAACAAAAGTAGCAGTAGGCAGGCATGTCTTGGGCTTTTTTGAGTTAGCAGAATACTTTAAAAAAGGAGAGCGTTTTCCTTGGGAAGGGAGAACCAGCTCACAGAGGGTGGGGCCTCCGGATGCCCACACAGCCGCTGTTCTTCATGTCTCCGAAGCGCTCCGCACCACTGCCACCATGGGTGTCCTGCTGCCAGACACATCAGCCCTTTTACAGCCTTATCATAGGTTTCTAGGTATTGCCTCCTTTTTATGTGTGTGTTTTGGGGGTGTGTGTGTGTGTGTGTAAATGCTTAAATCTTCTTTGGTTTCCCCTTCTGTGTCTTTCAGAGGGGCTTTGGTTCTTTTGTCCCTGTATTCTTAACTATGTTTTCCACTTCTCCTTGGGCATTTTGGAAGCTGGTCAGCTAGCAGGTTTTCTAGGATTTCGGGAAGCCTGGATGACCACATCGGGTGCAATACTAGCTAAGTAAAAGCTAGAAACCTACACTGTCACTTTACTGAGATTTCTGAGTATACTTTTCTTATTGCCTTAATGTAGCAGTAATGTGTTATGCATTTGTTTCTTTGCACAGACCTTTTGTCAGATATTAAGATATTATCTACTTTTTTATGGCACATATTAGCATATAAGCCTTTATTCCAAGAGGTATTTATTTTTTCACTTGTAAAAAATAATGTTTCCACATAAAGAACTCTGTTATATCCTAGAGAACTTCTGTCTTTTATATTCAGGATAATAAAGACTTTAAAGCAAGCATGGGTGTTTGTATTGTCACCATCACTGTCATTTAAGCCAGTTTTATTCAGCTAAAAGAAATGAGCAGTAACATCAAGGTTGGTGTCTAATTCGGTCCTACATGGAAAATGTGAAAATATTGAGGGTGTTTGGTCTGAGACCATCTCACTCACTTGAGTTTCTCTCTTCTATGTTTTGGGGCCATGAGATTGGAAAGTAATGTAATACACACAAGCAGATGAAAAGTACAAATTGGGAGAATGAGTAGAAGGGAGTGGTGAAATTGGTAAGTAACAATCCCAAAACTAAGCTGATGCTGCTGGTGCATCCTGGTCAGGACAGGCGAGCATCATCATTGATGGCGAACCTTAGAGAGACCATGGGCCGCCCTGCAACCCAAAACCCACTTATGTATCGCAAAGTGCCAACACTGCAATTAAATCTGAATACTGAGGTCTTTGTGTAGAAAACAGCAACTCCTACATTAACATCTTTTGTCTTAAAAACAGTAACACACGTGCCATAGTTTTGCCACCACTGGTCTAGGTGCTACCAGAAAAGGTCTCAGGGTCAGAATCTAGGATGCCTTCCTGCAGGGCTGCCAGCCTGCCTCACTAGGCCTGAATTGCTCTGTGCATGCCAGTGTGTGCACAGCTATGTGTCAGGAAATGCTTTGTGGAGTAGAAAATACTGTACATGTATATGCCACTGATAACCTTTAAATAATTTTTAAAAATTGGGAGACAGATTTGTTTTCTATATACCTATATCTTAAGTCATTTTCCATCAGTGCCTTGGAATTAACTCATCTGTTCATTCAACACATTTATTAGCCCTGTAATTTCTTTTTAAGTAAGAAGTCAGAAAACTTACTACATGCCTAAAGCATGGAAATATTAGACTCCAGTACTGGAAATGTAACAGTCATCGAGAGATGACTGATCCAAGATGCCTGCATTGTATGCTTAGCCTGCAGCATGCACAAATGTCTCTATAGAAGTTAAATAATATTAATATTTCTAGTATATTACCATGGGAGGGGATCTTAGGCATGGTAGCCAGGTTTATGGAAAGATGGATGGATAGGTGAGTAGGTCGGATGGATAGCTGGATGGATGGATGAAAGATTGGTCAACAAATATATAAAACATTGTTCACAGCCTGGTAGACCATGGGCCTCTTAAGCTCGGTGACAACAGGAAAACTCTTCCTTGGTGGCATGATGGCACTGTAGAGATGCTAAGGAGGGTATAGGATGTAGGGATTACCTCTGCTTTGAGGCCAAGGGTAAAGGTGCTTCAGAAAAACCTTTGATGAGGGCCTTGACTTTCTAGATGGAAAAAAAAGTATATGACACACGCCAAGACTAGAATGTAGTAGTGTTGGGAGCTGGGCCACCCCCGCAGTTCAGTGAAGTAACAAATTGGACTCTGAAGGAAATTGGACTCTGTGTAGTCACAGTGATGGGGAACTTCGAATTCCAGTTCACTTTGAGCTTGGTACTTTGGTATCTTCCCAACAAGGAATTTTTGGGACAGAAGATCTTGTACAGAGAACTAACACATGGAGTGGACACAGGCAGGAAGAAAACAAAGGCAGTGAACTTTATTTTGATCACCTATTGGCATGAAAAAAAATGAGAGTCAACAGACTTCAATGTCTGATCAGCAGCAGGACTACTGACAAGTCATACAGAGATGCTGTTTCTTAGGCTAGACAGTCTGACCAAGGGACCAGTAAGGCAACTGGCTTGGGGATAGGAAGGAAGCTGCATTTGGTTGGGACATAATGCATTTGAGATGCTTGGTGACAAGCAAGCCTGGAGTCAGAGTTTGGGAAAGAGAACTATTTGGTAGTCACTCCTTTGATATTTAAAGACATGACAATATTAAAGTCAAATGTAGGAGGAGAAATAAATGCGAAACAAGAATAAGGCTGAAGATGGATCCCTCAAGTAACCTACACCTAAAGTGGACATGAAACTAGAAAGGTATTTGAGAAAGAACATAGAGAAAAACAAAGAAAGAGATAAACATTCGAGAGGATAAAAAGTCAAGGCATAAAAAACTAAGCCAGAACACAACTTCCCAGAATCAGCTATGTCAAAGGTGGCAGGATTTGGAGTACTGAGAAAGCCATAAAGTGTTGCAGAATGGGAGTCCCCAATCCTGAGAAAGTGTGGGTGTCTCCTGAGAAGTGAGGGGTTACTAGGAGTTGCCAGACCATGCTACGCTGAGTCTGATTGGGAGGCAAGGACAAAGAAGTGATGGTAAATCAAGAATTTGGTGGCAAGGAGGAGGACCCCGGAGGATATTATACATGGGAGGGAGATGTCGGCCTAGAAGAGAGGGTGAACAGTAGGAATAAATGGAGAGCTTGGACCTTTGAAACCACAGAGACTAAAACTCAAGAGGCTGATCTGCCAAAGATACAGACTGCAGGACTTGAGCAAAAGCCTTCTTTCATCTATTAAGAGGTGTAAAAGATAGTACTGAAGCTAGAAATGGTTTTCCCCACTCTGCTCCATTCCAGTATCTGTTGATCCTATCACAAGATGGGGAGCTCAGTGGCAATGCTGGTGAGTTCTAGAGGTTGTCCCCTTCACTGATGCTAAACACTGAGGATCACAGTGCCTCACGGGAAAGCACACGTGGAGAAAGCATGAACACTTCCAAGAAAAACTTGGGAAGATGCCCTGTAGGACAGAAGGTTGGGGAAAATTTCTAAAACCCAAGCACTGGGGACAGTTCACAGGCAGGAGTCCCTGTGAGTGTGACCAAGGAAGGAAGAGAGCAAGGGTGCTTGTAGGTCTAGAGGCACAGTATAAAGTAGGAAGGTGGAGTTTTTAATCATTTTGCAAGCAGTGAGAAAGATGCTAAGGTGGAGTTTGAGCACAACCAGAATTTAAGACAAAATGCAGTCATTTCTGTCTTCTCATTGCTTTTATATTTAATGCTTTCTCACAGAAATCCTAAAACTTTTACAGATTAGTAATATTCACATTTGTATGAGTGAGTTTATTTAAAAAAGAACTTCAGGGGCCGGGGATTTAGCTCAGTGGTTTCGGCGCCTGCCATGCAAGCACAAGGTCCCGAGTTTGATCCCCAGTACCAAGAGAAGGAAAAAAAAGAACTTCACTAAAGAGTGAGTCCTGTGCCTCTTAAAAACGAAACTGTTAGGACCACGCAAATTACAGATTTGCCACACCTACCAGTTGCCTAAAGAAAACATACACTTCAAGCAAAAGCTAAACTTCTGTTGTTCATAAAGCTTGCAGTAGTGCTAAGGGGAAGAAAAATTTGAAAGGATAAGCCCTCTCAGCAAACAAAAAGGTAATAGTACAAAGACTAAAAATAACATACACATGTATTCTTGTATGAATGAACACAAGTGAATCAGGAAGGCTTTATGAAGGAGACAAGGCGATCTTTGTCTTGAAGTAAACAATATGGATTGATGGAAAGAAAAATAAAGCATAAGAATGTGAAAGAGCTCACAGGTTAAGAGCAAAGTACAAGACAAAGATAGGAAGAAAGCAGAGCCGATCTGTAAAGAGAGTTGCTGAAGATTGCGATTTCTCTTGATTAGTATGTAGAAGCTACAATAATGTGTTCTTGGATTTTTTTTCTACTTTTTTGTAGCAGTAAGTTTGCTATTTGTTTGATTCATTCAGCCTTTTACTGATTAATTTGAGCACTGATTTATTAGTTCAGCAATCACCTAGTATCTGTCAGCCTCTCTGTTAGGACTAAGACTGTGGTTCTTGACTGGGACAATTTTGTTCCCAAGAGGCACGAAGCAATGTCTGGAGGCATTTTTGATTGTCACACTGGAGGTATGGTTACTACTGGCATTTAGTAGATAAAGGCCAGGATGTTACTAACCATCCTAAGGTACACAGGATAACACCCCCCCCCACACACACACACAGCTAAGAATTTCCCAGCCGGAGATGTCAGTATTGCTGCCTTTGAGAAGCCTGGGTGGAGGTACGTGTGTCTGAGAGGAAGTCTTTGCCCTCTCTGGGAGTGGAGACTGCAGGTTAATCATTCCAGTCTACTAAATTTTATAATCTAAGCAGGTCCTGGGTACCATGGAAGAGCAAAAGAAGATGCCACTAAATTTGCTTTGGATCAAAAAGTTCACTGGAAGAAAGTCACACTGGAAAGGAGTCTTGAAAGATGAGCCAGCACCCGGCAGGTAGGAAGGTGGGTGGGAGGAGCGTGCTTGGTCCTGGGATATGTGAGAGCCACTGGGCGGTTTGGCGTAACTGGACCGTCCAGGACATGGTTACACAGAAAGAGGAAAGGGTTGTGTGTGTGTGTGTGTGTGTGTGTGTGTGTGTGTGTGTATGTGGGGTGGAATAGCAGGAGAGCAGACTGAGAAGTAAGGCTGGGAACTAATCCAGGAAGGTGACACATGCTCTGCTAACCCTACTCCCAGGAGTTGGATAAGTGACCCCAAAGTCCTGTGCTAAAGGCTTGGTCTCCAGCCCATGTTGCTATGGTAGTGGGAGGAATAGAACTTTTTAAATATACTTTTTTATTTTATTAGTACATTTGCAATTAGTATATTTGCAATTCATGTTGTTTACAGTCATCTTGGAGAGTGGTTACATATACATATCACAGCTTATTTCTCCTTTTTTAATCCCCTTTCCCCTCCCTCTCTCTCCCCTCCTCCTCTGGTTCCCCTATCCTGTTTTTCATACTTGTCGATATTATTGGTCTTAGCTCATGTTATGGCATACAGTGTTTATGTTAATTAAGGCTACTAAGTTCCAGTACCTGGCACTTCTTTATTCCTCTCATTCCCCTTCCCTTCCTCCTCTCCCCTCGCCCTTGTTCCCTTGGACCACCTCCCTATTGCAAGAGATCCATCCCCTTGTCCCTTCCTATCCATCCTTTATCATTTTCATTGTTTATACTTTGCTTCACTCAAATGAGAGATGCCATACGGTATTTAAGCTTATGTGTCTGGTTTATTTCACTCAACATTATATTTTCCAGGTGCATCCAT